GCAACGCAACGCGTGAAAAGACAGTATAAGTCATTATAATCCGTAATTATGTCCCCACTGGATGCAACGAATGCCTCGTTTATAATGGGTTTTCATGTTTTTGAATCATCGCTCCGGCCTGACCAGGGGCATCATCACAATATGGTAGGGGCGTAACATTTCTGTCACACGCTTGAGGTATTTGGCCAATCACAACGCATTGGATAGCTGGCCAATGACAGCACATCTCGCTTTTTCAGACCGATGAGCTTTGTAAAAATCTATGCGTTTCAGAAAGGCGGGGCATAGATGAGAAACAATAATGTACAGTATGTGGAAAATAATGTGTTTTTTGAACCTTAAACCGCATAAACATTTCATTACACCAAATACACAAAATAATGTTCTTTTTAGCAGCATCATATGACCCCTTTAATGCTTGTCTGGGACAAGTAGATTTTTAAAGGGGCAAGTGAGAGAGAATTTTACTCACCCGACCAGACAATAAGCCTGATTACAACATCAATAACAAAAAATAACTAGAAAAGCGTTGAAACCTGGCCACCAAAAATGTTCACACGAGAATGAGTGTGATTTTAATGCATTCAGTGTAAACAGCGACTGATAATGTATTTATGTCGTGAGTGTGAGAGAGAGACTTGTGCAGAAATCAAAGCAAATGAGCACAACAGCACACACAAAGAAACTCACAGAAAGTTATAGATGCATACTGTGGTAGAATTTTTTTTTTTGTAAATAATTTTATATATGTTAGCAACATTACACGACCAAGATGTTTCCTTGAATATCAGCACGATTGCTATGTGACACTGATTTTTTACAATAGTAGTTCAAAAAACTAAGTTAAAATTAAGTGACTTACATTTTAGACACAATATTGACTGTTTTTGCTCAATTTCGCTAAGAAAAATAATTCCAATCAAAGCCACAGCAGAACAGGGTAGCCTACATGTCGAACGTCACCTGACCAAACCCGGAAAACAGGTCTCATCGTTTCCGCTTGTCGGAGAACGTGTTAACAGCCATATTAAATAATAGCAATATCTATGGACTTTTAAGATAATCAGTTAAACTAGCTAGCTATTTTGATTGTTGACATTTTATTCAATTTATATATATATATATATATATATATATATATATATATGTTAAGTGAAAAAAATAAAAATAAAAAACTTTAAGATATCAGTCCACATATGTGATGGACATTGTGATGTTATGATCATCATTGGAATCTACTTTGAAATCATCTTGAGCAAA